GAGTTTGAACAAAATTGTAAATGGAAAGCGACGTGTGTCGATTTGTGTCAAGTGTGTCGACTGTGTCTCCTAAAAGGAAAGCAGCCATTATCTCGTGTCACTTAGTGCGCAGAGTGCGCACTACGCGAGTGTCGTGCGATCAAATGAACACATGACACTAGCCAAGTGCGCATTGGCACTGCCAATAGAACACGCTCTTGACACTGAGTGCAGCCAGTGCACCCCAATCGAAAACGCTAATAGTCAAAGGCCAAACCCAGCATATACTATAGGTGCTCATGGTGCAAATCAGTGCGAATCCACCAGAAGGTAGAATCCACCATTTAACCGGTTATGATCGCATAATCGAAATGGAGAATAAAGAGAAACTGATTTCTGCCTTATTTGCCAAAGCATTACTTTTATTAGAATTATTTAATGATAATGAAAATGATTATAATCTTTATACTAAAGATATCGAAAGATATTGTATATTGCTTCTGACTAAATACTCTATTAAAAAATCGACACCTCGATTGCAAGATGATGCAGAAAATGTTCTATCATTTTATAATGATAAACAATTTAAGTTACAATTCAGGTATGTATATTTTTATGTAAATATTTTCAAGTTTTAACTTTATTTTCAGTATAACAAAAATTTATATATATCACGATATGAATTAATAATTATCACTTCGAAAATATATCTCTAAAGGAAAGCATTATTCAAAAAATATTTCAAATAAAGGTTGTTTAAGTTTTAAGAGGACGTAAACAATTTTTTTTGTTTCAAATAATAACTTTTTTTTCAAAGATATTCGAGTAATTTCTATTGACTCACTCCATATATTTATATAGAAAATAGATTTTTCGTGATTGTAACAAAGAATTCATCTTTTTCTTTTTAGGATGGAACGATCAACATTTGATTATATTTTGAATATTATAAGACCATCATTAATAAGGTCAACATGTGGGCGTAAAAGAATATCACCTAGAAAGCAATTTTTAATTGCTCTATGGAAAATGGCTACTTCAGATCCATATCGGTTCATATTATTTTCATAACATTAACTTTATTTTAAGTATTAATTTATTCTTGCATGCATATTCAGTATTTTTTACTTATGTTTTGATTTTTTAGACCTATTTGTGAGAAATTTTATGTAGGCAGAGCCACAGCACTGATGGCTGTGAGAAGAGTAATCAAAGCAATCGCTCAACGAGCTCATCTTTTTGTGAAATGGCCAAAAGATAATAGAGCAAAAGAAATTATTAAAGGATTTGCTACAACCAGTGCTTTTCCTGGAGTAATAGGAGCAATTGATTGCACACATGTTAAAATTAAAACACCGCATATCAATTCTGATTCTTATGTTAATAAAAAAAGACAGCATAGTATACAATTGCAGGTATGATTAACATGCATTATTATATAATTCTTTCCTTTTTCAAAAATAGTTATATAATTAATTCTGTATTTATTATTGACAGGCTGTTTGTGATCATGAACTGCGATTCACTCATTGTCTTTCTGGACATGTCGGTTCCATCCCTAGTCAAAAAGTATTTCACTTATCTGAAGTTTGTCACTATTTAGATGATCCAGAAAAATTTAGTAATGACAGCCATTTAGTGGGTAATGCAGCTTACACAATTCATGAACACTTAATGACACCATTTCAAGAAAATGAAGATCTAACAGATAGACAAAAAAACTATAATTTTTGTCATTCATCCGCTGAAATTACAATTAAACGAACATTTGTATTACTCAAAAGAAGATTTCAAAGCTTGCTTAAAACTTTAGACATGGAGCGTATAGATTTGATTCCAGAACTTATTATTGCATGTTGTGTTTTGCACAACATTTGTCTACTGCAAAATGATAAATTGTTAATTGTGGAATCAGATGTTTTAGAAACTAATAATGATATTGAAATAGCAACTGAAAAAAGAAATACCAATGCAGGCGATAGAAAACGAGATATAATTTGTAATAATTTAATAATGAGAAATGTCTGAAAATATACACCATTTTTTTTGTAGTGAGATTATTGTATTATAATAAAGTTATATAATTTGTCATAAATGCTTTTTATTTCATAATTAAAGTTATTTCTTTTCTAAAATATTTAACATTCTGTCAAAGGAATTAAGAAGTCTTCGGCGTAGCTCTATATTTTCTCTATGTCTTCTCTCTTGAGCTTCTTCTGCGACTCTACTAGTGTTCTTAAAATCTTCTATTAATTTTTCTATTGTAGTTGGTCGTCGGCTTTTTTCTAAATAAAACAAAGACATTATTACATAAAATTATATTAATAAATTTTACACGCAAAACATCCTAATTATTATAATCTTAGGATTCAAAATTATTAATTTGTTAAAAATTACACAATTATAGAAATATTTGTATTACGAATATTTGTAATTAAAATTCAAGAAAACTTTTACTGTTTACATTTTATTAAAATTAATAAAATGTTAATGCAATATAATTATATAAATAATAAATGATTAATGATACTATATAATAGCTCAATAGTAATAAATAAACATTAATAACAATAAGGGCTACCAGATTTCAATATATTTAAATTTTTAAATAGACGCTTCAATCTTATCGTCAGGTCATCTTCATTGTATACAATGTAGAAAATTAAACGCAAAAATTGATAAATTTGTATAACAGATACAAATTCCACAATTATAGTTATGCTAACACGATGGTCGTGTTTCTTCGTGTATTTTACGTCGCAACAATATAATGTGCTCTCTCCTGTAATTTTTCTAAATTAGCATTCAGCTGATACAATAGATGAATATACAAAGAAACACAATCATCATATTAGCATAACTATAATTGTGGAATTTCTATCTAACTGTTATATGAATTTATCAATTTTTGTGTTTAATTTTCTATCTTGTATACACTAAAGATGACCTGATAATAAAGTTGAAACGTCTGTTAAAAAAATTTAAATATATTGAAATCTGGCTCGTAGCTTATTGTTATTAATGTTTAATAAATGATTAAATCTAAATAACTGATTGGATCATTCATCCTAATTATATAAAGGTATAATTATCTTACTAGGTTGTATATATTCTTCTTTGTCTGAACTAGATGAACTACATACAGATTCCATTCGCGATCTTTTTCCAGTCGATGATACAGTGGTTACAGATGACATAGATGGTTTCATACCAAGTAAATCATCCATAAGCTTAAAGAACATTCAATTTAAAGTTTATATTTGTGTAAAAGTACTATTTGTATAGCATTTTGATTTTAAAATAACTTACAGGAAAAAATGTCCATGTTCTTGATCCACTGCCATACCTTTTATTATAATCTTTGACTGCTTTATATGTTCTCTTCAAACCAGAAAATTTTGATAAACATTGTGCTCCACTAACTTTGTAACCATGTTTTAACATTTTTGCGGCAATTAATAGCCATATCTTCTTTTGAGACGTCTTTCCACTTAAAAAATCATTTTGCCGCGATCGATATTCATCTATTAATAAGAGAGTAGCTTCTTGTGGCCATTTAAACGCTGCAAAAATTAATTTATTTTAAAAAAATTTAGAAATTAAAAATAAGTTATATAAATAAAATTACTAAAAACCTGTTTCTTCTTGGATTGCATCTGATGATTTATCAGCAGTATCTTCCATTGATTTGATTTCTGTGGAATTATTGTTATTTTTACAGAAATAATATAAAAATAAATTTATTAAAAAATAAATATTTCTATTATATATTTTATACAATAAAAGTATAATGGACTATGAGTGTTGATGGGTTTTTAAGAAAGGTCTATTATTATTAGTTGTCTTATACAATAGCCAAAAGATATGGACTCTTTGCCTTATTAAACTTACTATATTTTTATATACATTTATCACTTCATTTAATTTCTCTACAGCATAAGTAGAATCTAAAAATAAACAAAAATGCAAAGAAATGGTAAATGTTAAGAAGAACACCTAAAATGTTATTAGTTTGAATCGATACGTTTTCACGTAAAAAAAGACGAAAAAAGCGTCACTCTTTCCACTTGACTACAATATTAACTAATATTAACTGTTGAAGTTGACAATCAGGTTAAGAAATTTGTCACAACCACGAAATACTGCGATGCGAGTGTTTGTTATGGGTTCCATTTCACGTATGATGCTCATGGATGTATTATTTTATCTTTCTTTAATATTCAATAAAGATAAGGATAAAATGATATATCATGCGTGAAACGAAATATACCTAAAGGTACCTTTACATGGCAGCGTCAAGCGTCAAACGTCGAGCATCGTGAGCTTACTATTCGTCAATTTTGATCCCGTGACCTATTTTTAGCGAATAATAAGCTCACGATCACTGAACTATATGGCCCATCGACATCTAGAATGGACCGCTGATGGCAATGATGGGGGTAGAAAGACGATTAGAGTGAGAGGCAGGTTTTAAAGAACGATCTTATTATTCCTGCCTCTCACTCTAATCGTCTTTCTACCCCCACCATTGCCATCAGCGGTCCATTCTAGATGTCGATGATATGGCCCGTATTCAGAACGCGCTTACAACGATGTTAGCACGCTTACATACTATACTTTACGTATATTATAGAATTTCAGAGATAAAAGTTCTCTTTTATCGATAAAAGCGCGTTCTGAATACGGGCCTATATGTATACACCAGGCACAGTATACAGTAGCGCAAGGCTCTGCGCACAATGAAGGAAATATTAGGAACAGGAATAAACATTAAGATTTCAACCTATCAGAAACCGTGTATTCCGGTGTAATTGGTATCTAATAGGTTAAAATCTTAATATCTATTCCTGTTCCTAATATTTCCTCCAATGTGCGCCTGAAGGCTTAAACATAATAGACACAGGCAATAGGTACTACAGGCAACAGGGAATAACGAGCCGTCCAATCAGAGCTCTGGGATATAATATCGAACTTACACACCAATACACTTATTGACTAGAGTCCTAGATTTATCAGAGAGGCGCAACCGGTGTTATGCATTCTGATTCGCTGTTGCAATCTGACCAATTGCGTGACTTGGCAGCCGTTTATAGTACTAGTGACATATTTCTATTTCATTTTATCCTATACATTCTATCTCACATTATCCTACTTGATTATCTTATCTTGTTTGACATAGTTTAAAGGCAGTTTCATAGCATGTCGGCCATGTTTAGTACTCTCCTTAGCACCTTTGTCATACTGACTTAAGCCGGTTGCGCCTCTCTGATAAATCTAGGACTCTATTATTGACCAATCGCATCTATCGTCAAACAAAATGACAAATGAGATTGGCCAATTCCTATGGACTAATCGACCGATTAAGTTAATCGGAGTTGGTGAAAGAGGCCCTAAAGCCGTAATTACACTAGCGATTGGCGATTGGCGATTGTGATTGACGATTGAGGATTACTTTTCAACCAATCAGAGCCTGAAAGTCACCGATTTCTTTGCTCCGATTGGTTGAAAAGTAATCCTCAATCGTCAATTACAATCGCCAATCGCTAGTGTGATTACGGCTTAAGTGGTCACGCCAAACTCAAGAAATGAATGAGAGTGTCAGGGGGCGGGAGGATCCCGTTTGCCTAAAATCCCGATTGCACACACCACTCATATCAACTGGTGCCTAGTAATTTTTTACTGCTTTACCAATGAGAATATTTTATTTTTAAATTGACCAATTAGCAACGCATGTGTGCAACATGCAATGTGTACAATCGGAGCCTTCCCCAGGGGGCTGATCTCCTTATTACTCCGTGGATGCATTCAAGCTAGAAAAAGCTGCTAGCCTGTAGCGGGATTCTCTAAACGTCTTATCGATGATTGTTGCTATCGTTAACTGGCGACAGCCAATGACAGAACAATCCTGAACGAAAGCGCGGTTCTCATTGGCTGTCACTAATTAACGATAGCGACAATTGTCGATAAACCGTTTAGAGAATCCCATAACTGCTTGCCAAGCGATTGAATTGATCTATAACAACCAATCATGTTCATTTGCTTGCTGAGCAGGCCAATCATTTTATCATTAAATTACCATTTTCCAATTTACCGACATCAAAAATTTTTTAATTAAGTAAGTAATTCTAAGTATAAAAATACATAAATTCACAAAATTACAGGAAAATTGAAGGGAAAAAAGCTATACTGAACATTTACTAAATCCAGAGGCTATACTAAACATTTACCAAATTCATCTATTTTATATATAGTCAATACAAATTATTACTTTGAATATTTTTGAAGTACATTATTCGAAAAATATTTAAAACAAATCATAAAAGCTTTCTTTCGAGGTATCCAAGATAATAATTTCTAATGACTTATTCTGTATACATATATATTTGCAATTGACAATACATTTTTATTACTTATTTTCAGTTCAATAGTTCATTTAAGATGAAAATTTGAGAAATATGAATATCATTTTTAGAATTTAATAAAGACACAAGATATAATATTTATCATTTAATTTTTTTGTCAGTGAAAGCATTTCAATATTTGTTTTGTGATACAATACAATAAAGATCTGTGTTTAAAAAATATACTTTTGTCATTCTTCTATAAAAATAATGTCTTAAAAAAGTGTATAAAAATATAGACATCATACATAAACATTTTTGCAATTAAATATAAAGTAACAATAATATTACACAGAATTATATTAAAATAATTACTATTACATCATTCTTTTCTAATTAATATTTTATATTATTAGTGACATAAGTTGCAAAATATTCAAGCCACTCAAAAAAATGGGACATTAAAATTAATGGAACATTTTTATTTTCATTATAGATTTGTTTCATAGTTTGTAATGTATATTCTCGTGTCTGCACTGAATGATGCTTGGGCTTTATCCTTAATAAAATTATGCAAGAACGCAATTTCCTGGGATAAAGATCTAATATATCTTTATCATAATTTTTACAATAAATAGATACCCGCTTTAACATCAAATCTATGAAATCTAGGACTGCAGATGCATATTGCAGCTGAACTAGTAATTCCTTCAAAAAATTAAACATTAATTGAAAAACATATGCAGACCTAGCACTAAGTTCTAATAATTTATTTAGCATCTCCTCGTTGTTTTGGTTATTCTCATCATCCTCTTTCTTCAAATTAGGAAACATGCACATAAAACTATTGAACAAAGGCTCTTCTATTAATTTAAACTTTTGTAAAGCGTATATTTCTTCTTTCGTAGTTAGTTTAAGATGTAAATTTGAGCATAGAGCGTTATATAATAATTTTTCAATTTTATAATTTGCTTCAAGTTGTGAAAGTCTTAAAAGTAACCGATCCACATGATGCATAAAAATTGTATTCTTCACTGACAGATGCATTACAGAAACAGTTAAACATATCAAAGTATCTTCTGAATAGCACTTATTCAAAACATCATCTGTAAGATACTTCTCTAAAAGAATATTCATGAAATTAAGACTATTTTCCTGAGACGTAAATATCTTTAAATGTTTAAAATTGTTCGTTGCTCTGCACCAATTCCGTAAAACATCCTGTAACACAATCATATGATATTAAAATATCAATTATAAAAAAGCTTGAAAAATTGAAATATATTAACCTATATTTTAATAAATAATCAACATACAATTATTAACAATCGAACTGAATAGCGTTGATATGCTTCCTTGGATATTTTATAACACAAAAGATTGCTCAATGATAAACACAAGGTATTTAATACTGCATCAGATTGTATGCAAAGAAAAGTTTTCTTTGACATATTCTTGTAATCCTCAGATTGAAATAAATTTTCAGCATCAGTGTAACTTTTTAATATCACTCTTAATATATCTGCATCCATATTATTTGCAATGTAAGAATACATAAACATAAAGTTATATTATGTTGTATGTACTATTTACATTAATTAATTTTGAGGATAACCTATATAAAAATTCAATATTAATAAAAATAATTTAAAAATAATTCTTAAAACAGATAAAGAAAAATCAATAAAAAATAAATAGGTCTATTCGTGTTGCTTAAAATTCCTCAAAATTTTTAAACTTAAAATGAGGTAAATATATATATATTTGGGTGTTGAAAAGTGATAATGAAAATGCTAAGTGCAAAAAGTGCAAGCAACGCGAACAGACCTATTTGTTATTAATTATTTTTAATAGATAAATTTACTAAATAAATTCAGATTGCATATTTTTATACATAAATACAGGATCAAAATAAATAGTTGGTATTATTGGTTTGTAATTATAGAATTGAACTACTTCACCTCCGACATGATAAAATTAGATATTTGACACATTTCTGCACAAAATGATCGAATTTGACAGAAAAAAAGCTTCGCTTTAGGAATGGACGACGCGAACCATGTCACCGACGAGATATTATTAAAGACCGTCAACCCTGGGCATATTTTCGGCGGTATAAAAA